TCTCTCTCTCTCTCTCTCTCACACACACACACACACACACACACACACACACACACACACACACACACACACACACACACACACATGCACACACAGGTGCAAATGTAACAAAAGTACGCACATGCAGATACACACTCACACGCAATTGCACAGAGTTAGATACTTTCCAAGCGGTGGTGTCTGGATGGTCCCAGAAAATCACCCATGTGTTATCGATTTCTGTACATGTAGATTTAAACATTCGAGAAGGAAGGGGAATGTGGCTGGTCAGGGGGAACGATCATTCCTCTTCTGTAACAGTTCCTTTGGTTTTTGATTGATGTTGGATGGAGTCTAAGACGACAGGATCAGTTATCAATGCAGAAGCGGCTAATTAACCTAGTGGGAGAGGAGAGGAGAGGAGGTTTTGCAGTCTGGACTGTCTGCAAAACAAGTTATAGAGAGCTAGCAAACAGGTCTGTATAACACCAGCAGAGTTTCAGAATGTGTATTCCATTGAATTCTTCACCTCAATATGCCCGTCTCCTGCGAAACTGTCAAGAAATGAAAATAGTCGTTGCTTATAGACATTAGATTCGTTCATTAGTATGACTTCAGACTATTGTCCTCCTTCTAAAGCCTTTTTCCTTTCTGAATTGAAGTTGTCTTGAAAGTTCACTGCTCTGTACCATCAATCCGCTCTCGCTACTACTCGTTACACATTCAGTTCAGTTGAGTCCTCGCTCATCTTTCTTCTTCACCCGAATAAAATGTCCAGTCATTACAGTGGTATCTAGACTGAAATGCGACCCAAATTCAGCTATAATGACTGTACATTTTGTTCGGGTGAAGAAGGTAGTTACATGTTCATGCATGCGTCTCTGACGGTCATTTTTTGTTGTTGTTTCTCTGGACAGCAGCTGAATGGCCCCTTCTTAGAGGAGATGAGCGGTGGTGGGATTGCAAAGAGGGGAGGTTTGATTTGCACGAGAGGGTGGAGACAGGGTAACGGGATAAGGGTGAGAGAGAGGGGGCGAGGGGGGGTTGGAGAGAGAGAGAGAGAGAGAGAGAGAGAGAGAGAGAGAGAGAGAGAGAGAGAGAGAAGTCAGACTTTGTGGAGCTTTCAGTGAGGGCTCAGTAGGCATAAAACTGGGGTAGAAGTTGGTTGTCATCAACAAAAAGGTACGTTACTTGTTGTGGAAGTGGTTGTTTTGCCTATTTTCAAGGGAACGTGTTTCGGATTATTGTGGACTGTGATACTCTCCTCCATTCGATGACTGTGCCACTTCTCCGTTGGATGCTTTCTCTCTGATGGAAATGTTCATTATTTATAAGGTTAGCAATTTAGTGTTTGCCTATTTTTGGTATGTCTTTTTTATATTCCCTCTATGCTTTGTTTGCCTGCATGCGTGGAGTGTCTTCTTCACCCTGTCCCACTCTCCCCACTTTGAAAGGGGCTGCCTTCAGTTCATCTGTAGTTGAGACCCTGCCTTGACTATGGTCAGAAAAAGACTCAGAATTCTATGTGCATTGTTGTCCTTTGCAGCTACTGGGCAGATGTGGCGGATTTCTCTTCAGTTCTTGTTTTCAAATTTTTTCCCTTTTTTTTTCGGGAAAGGGCGGCGGCGTTGAAATTTGATCTTTGAGCTGACTGGCTTCAGGTAAACTCAGAGGTGTTTTCACTCATCTGGTTCCATCGCTATCGGGACTCAGGTCTGTGTTTCCTCAGTTCACAGATGTACCAACTGGCCAGTCGGTGTGTCTTTTCACTTCTGCCCCTTTGATTGCTAGGATTTCATCCCCTACCATCTTCACCCGAACAGAACGCCCAGTAATTATCGCCGTATCTGGGCTGAAAGCTGTGCCAAAAATACAGCTATAATGACCTGGCATTGTATTCGGGTGAAGACGGTAGGTTGCCCCTTCGATGCAGTTTGACCAGAACTCAGTGGGAATTGTCCTCCAGATAACTCTACCAGGCAGATATGCTGGGTGTGTGTCGCTTCAGCTCTGCCGGTGGCCAACAGGACTAAAGCCCTTGACAGGGGTGCAAAGTTCCATGGGACTTGGGCCCTCGACGTGTACCAGAGCAAACAGAAAAATAGGCCTTGTAGGTAGTAATAACTTAGTACCATTAAAGAAAAAAAGGAGCAGGGTGAGGGGCTGTGCATCCTTCCAAGAGGAAGAGTAATCAATCTCGCCCCCCCTGATCTCTCGACCATAATGGGGGGATGTGTTGGGGTGTGTGGTCATTGTATTCTGATTGGCTTGCCGGTGGAATAGGAACTGGACTGACCTTTAAAAAAAAAAAAAAAAAAAAAAAAAACTGGACTGATGCTCC